CCCCCCCCTCCCGTGGTGCAATTTTCCCTTTACGTCTTTATTTTCAAGTCCACCTGAAGTTCCTATTACATAACCGCATAAACTTGATTCGGTGGCAGTGTGCGAAACAAAGGATCCACAAAAAATTACGTAATTTGAGTACGACCCCCGACGACACGAGGGCGCGCCAACAGGCCAGGCCGGGCCAGGCTCAAGTAAAAGCCGATAAAAACTCACCCCGCCCCCGCCGCATCTGGAGGCGAGACAGACAGAGCACACAGCACCTCCCGAGTGCAAAGGGTGATCTGATATCCTAACCCCCCCCCCCCTCCCCCTATACTCCCCTCGCGTCCTACAACAATTCGCAGGGCGGCACGTTTAGCTGCCGTTTTTATCTCACAGCTGATTTCCTCTCACGCAACTGGGTCAAAATAATCAAGGGGAAAAACAACCCAAAGTTTTGCGAGATGCAGTAGTACGTTTTCAGCTCTGCAAGGTCCGGCAAGGTCCGTAAAAAGCGTTTGCAACGTCATGGCTTTATTAGTTTACTCCCATATCACACTTCTGTCAGATTAACGCAGCAGTCAACCTGATCTTTATAATTATAACAGCTTCGACAAAGCTTTCTGTATTATCAAACCGATCAAACCCTTAAAGTGGAGTTGCTGCTGAGACCACTCATCAGTGTACTACGATCCCACCTGACATTTGGGCACACTTTACGCTTTCCTACAAGAGACCGTGTATGAATTACAATCAAAGCTGGCAAGGCGGGAGCGAAGCGCCGCAACGCCGACATACGACGTGTCAAAACGTCACGCGGACATCAGACCGGCGGCGGCCACCGGCAAAAAGCAGCGCAGCGTGCCGAGAGCCCAACAAACCGCTTCTGTGACCCGCATTCCCATAACGCACGGCGCCGTTCAAACATTCCCGCGGACACCGCGGCGCGAACACCGTCCGCCACTTCACGCACTCACGACCCCTCATAGCGGCCTCCCTCATCTCCTTCCGCACGAATTCCTCAAAATCGCACCACGAAGCTCCGCCGCCACCGCCGCTAAAATTTCGCGATTCAAAACAAGTCCACTGCCCGTGACGACACACACACACACAGACACGCATGTGCTCGGCAATTCGTCTCCGTCGCGACGAGGCAATTGAACCCCCCAGAATGAAGGGGGAGGGGGAAGGGGGTGAGGACAGTCCTGGCGGAGAGCCGAGGAACGCCGCACCCCCCGTGCCTC